GATGGAGCATCCCTGGGGAGGTGGCACTTGGGGACACGGGCAGGGGGGGACTCTTTGGGCTCTGAGGGGTTTTCCAACCTCAACAATTCCATGATTCCATGGGTTTAACTCCCTCTGGAGCTCCCAGCACGGGAAACATCCCTGAAAGAGGAGCTCACCCCTGAGGCCCCCCCTCATCCCACCCCATCCAAGTTGTTGGAATCCCTGTGGATCCAGAACCCCCCCCCCCCTTGGGACCGTTCTGGCTGCCAAGGATTCCCACAGAAGGGTTTTCCCAAGGCTGGAGCTGCAGCTCCCGAGCCCACCCGGCCTCCAGGGATTCCTGCATCCAGCTGTTCCCACTGGGGAGCAGGAGGAACCAGGGTCTCCATCCCGGGGGCCACGGGCAGCTCATGGAATCACGGAGCCTCGGGATGGGATGGGTGGGAAGGAGCCTTAAAGGTCATTTAATTCCAGGGGCAGGGACACCTCCCACCATCCCAGGGGGATCCAACCTGCCCTTGGACACTCCCAGGGATGGGGCAGCCACAGCTCCTCTGGGAATTCCATCCCAGCCCCTCCCCACCCTCCCACACAGGAATTCCTTCCCAATATCCCATCTAACCCCGGGAAGCCATTCCCTGTGTGCTGTCCCTCCATCCCTTGTCCCCAGTCCCTCTCCAGCTCTCCTGGAGCCCCTTCAGGCCCTGGAAGTGGCTCCAAGGTCTCCCTGGATCCTTCCCTTCTCCAGGCTGGACATTCCCAGTTTTCCCAGCCTGGTTCCACTGGAACGATTCGAGTGGGAAGGAATTTTAAGGATCACCCATTCCCACCCCCTGCCATGGGCAGGGACACCTCCCACCATCCCAGGGGGATCCAACCTGGCCGGGGACACTTCCAGGGATGGAGCAGACACAGTTCCTCTGGGAATTCCATCCCAGCCCCTCCCCACCCTCCCAGACAGGCATTCCTTCCCAATATCCCACCTAACCCCAGGAAGCCATTCCCTGTGTGCTGTCCCTCCAGCCCTTGTCCCCAGTCCCTCTCCAGCTCTCCTGGAGCCCCTTCAGGCCCTGGAAGTGGCTCCAAGGTCTCCCTGGATCCTTCCCTTCTCCAGGCTGGACATTCCCAGTTTTCCCAGCCTGGCTCCAGTGGAACGATTCGAGTGGGAAGGAATTTTAAGGATCACCCATTCCCACCCCCTGCCATGGGCAGGGACACCTCCCACCATCCCAGGGGGATCCAACCTGCCCTTGGACACTCCCAGGGATGGGGCAGCCACAGCTTCTCTGGGAATTCCATCCCAGCCCCTCCCCACCCTCCCAGCCAGGAATTCTTTCCCAATATCCCACCTAACCCTGGGAAGCCATTCCCTGTGTCCTGTCCCCCCATCCCTCATCCCAAATCCCTCTCCAGCTCTCCTGGAGCCCCTTCAGGCCCTGGAAGTGGCTCCAAGCTCTCCCTGGATCCTTCCCCTTCTCCAGGTGAACATTCCCAGCTCTCCCAGCCTGGCTCCAGGAGCTTCCCAGCTCACAAGGTGACCCCTTCCTCGGGACATTCCTGCCCAAACTGGGGACCAGCAGCTTCCCAGTGGGATGAGGAGCATTCCCTGGACAGGGGAACTCTCCAGCTGGCCCGGGAGGAGAAGACCCCGGTGATTTGTGTCCAGGGCAGCCCTTCCCAGGAGGGATTTTCCCCCAATATCCCAAATAAACCTCCCCTGGCACAACCTGGGGCCTTCTC